ATTTATGCCTGTGTTTTCTTCTAACATTTTTATAGCTTCACCTCTTTTAGATTGTTGATCCATTTTGAGTTAATTTTTATATATGATATAAGATATGAATCCAACTTCATTCTTTTGCATGTAGATATCCAGTTGTCCCAGCAACATTTGTTGGCAAATGATTAACTTTTATTATATGACAGATGTTTACCATGAAACTCCATGATCATGTAAATGTCAGTGAAAGTCACTCATTTGTGTCCAACTCTTTGCGATCCCATAGACTATACAGTCCATGGAATTCTCCAGGCCAGAATACTGGAGTGGGTAACCTTTCTCTTCTGCAGGGAATCTTCCCAACCCAGGGATCGAACCCAAGTCTCCCACATTGCAGGCTACCAGCTGAGCCACCAGGGAAGTCCAGTGTAAATGTCAGCACTGTGTCAAAAGCTGCAGTTTGCTTACAAGGATGACTCTCACCATCCGGTTCTATACAGAGGCTTACATTTCCTAGTGACAGTGTTCCAACAGAACCCCTTTAAGTGAGTGTGTTTGCCTTTCTGTGTGTGTTGGGAACAGTAGCATAGATGTGGAGAATGAATACATTTTAAAATTCACTGAAAAACCTCCATTTATTAAGTATATAATTTGTACCAGGTATTGTACTAGGCTCTAGTAATGCAAGGATAGGCCTGCCACAGAGGAGAATTTCAGTAATTGTTGAAAGACAGGACAAAGTTTGGAAAGATGGGAGAATGCTTGGATATAGCCCTTGCTCTCAAAGAGATAGATAATTATAATGTGAAGTGTTTTAATTGAGCCATAGCTATAAAGTTAGTTAGAAACACAGGTATTCAACATTTAGTTCATCTAACCAATTAAAGAACTGAAGTGGAAAGCACCTTCCAGATTAGCTGGTAATGTTGCTATAGTTTTGTATTATTATTGAAATATAAAAGAAAAATTAATTATAGGCATTTGGTTTTTATCTTCATTTACCTCTATTCACTTATTCTTTTTCAGAATAGGTTTTTTGCCTCTAATACTGAATATAGCTGCAGAGGGGGCAGCTTAGGAAACCAAAGATTTAATTTCTCTCTAGTGTTCATGTTATTAAATGGCTACTAGTATATAGGTGTCCGTTTTTAAAATTTAATCACAATTCCCTTTTACAACTCTGTCCAAGCCCCTCCTCATTGTTCCCATTTGCTAGCAGAGGAGCAAATAAATCCTACTTCATAATTTGTTTTTCAGCTTATATAAAAGTCTTGTTTAGTTTTTTTGGGTTGCTTAAGCCTTGGCTTAATTAATTGGTACAAAGTCAAGAAAATCACTTCTAAAAGACTCATGCAGTTGATTTTTTGCCTAATGTTTATCAATTTACAAGATTATCTTTTAAAAACTACTCACTTTCAGAATGGTGTCTAATATTTGTGATGTAATCTCAATATAGATATAAAGCATTTGGGCATTCTGAAAAGCCACACTGTGGATTGTGATTTTAACCTCACAAAGAAAATATACACTGTTTTAAATTTATCTGCTTGTTTCCTGTGAGGCAAAGTATTGTAGTTTTCTCTGTCGCTGAGCAACTGGGAAATTTGTTGGTGCTGATATGTCCATAGCTTCAACCTGTCCTGAAAAGTTTGTATTATTATAGATTTAGAAAGGAATCAGTAGTCTCCTTCTATTTTTGTGTATTTTATTTCACAGTTGTTAATAGACAAAAGAAATCTAAGTCTTTATTGCCTGAGAACAGATTCTTTGACAGATGAGTGAATTTTTTTTGAAGTCACCATTGGTTCTTTATTTTGCTACACTTTTTGAGCAAAAAAAAAAATGCATACTTTGAATGAATTAATACCTAGATCCCCATTATATTGACAACTCTTAAGACTTCTTATTACTTAGAGAAATGAATCATATGAATTCTAAATTCATTGTGTCTATAATGTTTATTTTCTTGCATATCCAGGGTGAATCTTTGGTAGACATTTACCATGAGAATATCAGAAATAGAAGTCACCTAAGAGACTATGTAGTCCAGATTTTCTCACTTTCTATATAAGGAAATGGAGACCCAGAGGAGTGTGTGATTTACCTTAGGCTGCATATCTGATTAGTAATGAAGTGAGCCTCAGTACACGCAATAGGACTTCAAATATTATTTTGCCTGTAGTTTGACTGTAGTATCTAAATATGAGTCCACCAAATGAGGTAGATACACCCACATTTGATTTGTCACACATCTACCAATTTACAACTAAGAAAAGTAAAAGTTGCTCAGTTGAGCCCGACTCCTTGAGACCCTAAGGGAATCCTCCAGGCCACAATACTGGAGTGGGTAGCCATTCCCTTCTCCAGGTTCTTCCCAGCCCAGGAATCCAACCCAGGTCTCCTGCATTGCAGGCGGGTTCTTTACCAGCTGAGCCACCAGGGAAGCCCATAACTAAGAAAACACAGTCTAATTACTGCATGCAAATAGGTACAAATAGTCTGCTATATTAGACCTCTATGAAAAACTATTTTAGAAACATATCTACAGAAGAAAATGTCACTCTTCTTTAATTATCCATTCTCATGTTTAATAGCCATCACTCAGAAAGATTTCTTTATACCAAAAAGTTTCAAATCTGGAGTCCATGGATCCCTAAAGAATCCATATTAGAGGGTTTCTGAACCCCTTGACGTTAGTGCATAATTTCTTTCACAGCTTTTATAAATTTCTTGATAAACCCACTGCCCAGGATCAACCTGGATTCTCAGTCTACAGTATAACCACATTGCTTTTCACCTTATCTTCTTTGGAAGATATTTGGTATCCTCTGTATAATAACTCTGCATTACCTTGGAGACTTACTGTTTCCAAATGAAGAATCATTTTAACTTGTCAGATCATTATAACTTGTCTTAGGTTTTTTTCTTTTTTCCACATTTTAAATCATTTTTATGGCTGTCTTTTGAATCCTTTCCAAATTCTTTGTAAGCCTGAAAGCCAAGGAGCTCAGAATTAGAAATCATATGTTAATGAAGATCTTGTTTAGGCACTTGGATCTGCTGAGAGTGGTGTCAGAGGATTAGGAGCAGCAGAAGTAAGACCGCTGAGATAGGTGCAGGAATGTCACCCCTCCACACCCCCCGCACCCCCTCACTCAGAAAGGCTAGGCAGAAACTCAAGGTCGAAACAGACCAAGGGTAAGGGGCCCAGGTCAAGCTTAAAGGATTGGGAGTATTTCAAAGTTCAAAGCATTGTACCTAGATCTTGAATAAAAGGATTCAAATTCAAGAAAATAAATAGGAATCAAACCTAGACCTGAAGGTAAAACAGAATCCTGCAGAAAATCTACATAGTAAGGAACCGTCACCTTTCTAAGTCAACCCAATCTTACAGAACTGAAACTCTTCATATGGGAACAGCCCACTGGTAATACTTGTCTACCCAACTTCCCTTCACCCTGCAACCTCTACATTCCCACTGGCCTCAGGGTGCTAGATTCCTCAGAGTTGTGTTCCCAGGAGATGTGACTAGTGGAAACAGTAAGATACAGCTTACAAGCTATAATATATAAAGTTTCTCAAAGTCACTGGGGTTCAGGGGGATTATGGATTCTCTGGGAATCCGATGAAAACTGTGGGCTTTCTCTTCAGAAGGAAGGCACCAAATATATATCATGTTAAAAAATTTATGCAATTTAACCTGCCCTGAGACTGATTCAGTCTCCTGATGGATAAGTATGGTATTCTATATTTCTTACCCATTTGTTTCCTGTTCTTTATTAATGTTTTATATGATTGTTTCAATTGTCTCAGCTATACCAAGGAGATTAGGGCATTTTGTCTTCACATGTGAGCCAAAGGATTAATGCAGGGAATAGCAACACTGAGGCCATGACCCTGCTGCCAACAGTGATTGGAGAGAGATCCGTGGGGGCATGGTGAATTGAGGGGGAAAGAGTTGTGCCAAAGAAGTCTAGTGTCCCCTTTTCATGGGATGATTTTTCTTCTCTTCCTTAGATTGATCTACATGTTATTAGTTAAGAAGCAGTTCCTTTGTGAACCATGTAATGAGACACGGAGCTACTTGGTTTTATGTGTTTTTTCTTAGAACAGTTCCCAGTCCCAAACGTGGCTGGCCTAGGTCTCCTCAGGTAGAGGGTGAGACTTCTGGCCAGGAAAGGGTGAGAGGGCGGGGCAGGAAGGATGCTTTGGTAACATAGCATGAACTTCATTCACGGATGTTTGTGACTAGACTGTGAATTTTACGCATTTATGTCCAGTGGCTCACCCTCGGACTCTTTCTTGAGGTGATAAATCTATAAGACTGAAAATTTAGAGAGTAATTATCTGGATACTTCAAATTGAATAAAACCTCACCACAAAGTTTAGGTCCTGTAGAACACAGTACTGAATTATCTAATTAATCCTATATTTAGATAGCACTTAGAAAAGAAAAAAAATTCTTTTTTTTAAGTTACAATAAACAAAAAAAACTATTTTGGAGAACAGATTCCTAACTGTGTAAATATTTAAGTTTAAATGTCTATTAAATGTGTAAAAATCTAGTCTCCATCTTGTGCTTTAACTACTTATTTTTTCCCTTTACTTTATCTTTTCAAATTCTGTCTTTCACTGAAGCCTGGTTTTGGAGGCTACCCTGCCAATGAAAGAGTGCTATCAGCCACTCTGATGGCATTTTGGAGGATAAAGTAATCCAGCCCTGTCTTTGGCATGGGGCCTGGCATGTAATAAGCAATAAAACTGCAGTTGACGATGATGGTTGTGATGCTGTTTTCTCAAATACTCTCGTCAATATTTAATCTCCTTATTCTCTGACCATAAGAAATACTTTTTGACATTTACTATCTTAGTTTAGATGTTATTATTTTATTTCCATAATAAAATTGCACACTTCTTGATAGGCAAGCATAGGCATACAAAACTTGCTGAGTTGGATTGAAAGTTGTTATTTACTGGCTGTATAAGCCATGTGATCTTCATTGTGTGTTTTTTCCCCTCAACAGAAAATGAAAACACTAGCAGAAAGAAGGAGGAGTGCTCCATCTCTTATCCTGGATAAAGCCCTGCAAAAGCGGCCCAGTACCAAGTAAGTGGGAAGCTTTGTACTACTCGTTTGGTATCTGCTGCATTTCTTTTATGTGTGTGGTTTGTTTGCTTCTTATCAGGACCAGAATTCTTTGTTAAATAATGGAAAACATGACTTCTGTTCTGAGTTTACTTAATAAGACCTATTCTTTATGAGAAATGTGAAGCCTTTTGAGAGCTGGTGATCTGTTTCTTTAAAATTGATTCAAAAGTGAATCTTACATCCAGTGGTACACAAACATGCATGTTCCACATATTGTAAAAGTTTTATTTTTGGAAACAATTACAAATCAGAATACTAAATATACCACTATACATATTTGGTTATACACAAACTTTTGCTTACTTTTTATCATAAGGTGATGCCCATGCAAAGGTAAAAGGCAGATTTTTAGGAATTTTAGATATGAAGAAAGATAAAGATTAATAAAAGATTGAGTTCTGATTGCTTTTAGACATTATTGATTAGAGTAACTAGTGATTAATTAGTGAAATTTGAAGTGGACAAAACAAGCTAAATGTCTACTGAAATGACCATTTTACCTATTGAAGCTAAATACTATTTCTGTGGACATAGTAAGAGTTTTCTATAAATTGAATGGCTTTTCAGTCACTAATTTATTCAATAATTCTTAATGACATTTTAACTCAGAGCCTTTATATGTTCAAGGGAATCCAGCAATGCTTTTCTACTAATACATGAATCCTTTTATGTAAGGTCTGGTCTTTATCACCTTTTTAAAGGTGAAGGTATATCTGATATTTCTATGAATGGTGTACTGATTTAACATGAAATCTATGTGACTGCATGGCATTTTTCTTTGTTTTTTAAAAATTTATTTTTTAATTGAAGGATAGCTGCTTTATAGGATTTTGTTTTTTCTGTCAAATATCAACATGAATCTGCCATAGGTATGCATATGTCCCCTCCCTATTGAACCCCCCTCCCATTCCCCTCCCCATCCCACCCCTCTAGGTTGATACAGAGCCCCTGTTTGAGTTCCCTGAGACATACAGCAAATCCCCGTTGGCTATCTATTTTACATATGGTAATGTAAGTTTCCATGTTACTCTTTCCACACATCTCACCCTCTCCTCCTCTTTCCCAATGTCCATAAATCTGCTCTCTAGGTCTGTTTCCCCATTGCTGCCTTGTGAATAAATTCATCAGTACCATCTTTCTAGATTACATATATATGTGTTAAATTACAATATTTATCTTTCTCTTTCTGACTCACTTCACTCTGTATAATAGGCTCTAGGTTCATCCACCTCATTAGACTCAAATGAGTTCCTGACTCAAATGTGTTCCTTTTTATGGCTGAGTAATATTCCATTGTGTATATTTACCACATATGTTCTTTACCCATTCATCTGTTGATGGACCTCTAGGTTGCTTCCATGTTCTACCTATTGTGTATAGTGCTGCAATGAATGTTGGAGTACATGTGTGTTTTTCAATTTTGCTTTCCTAAGGGTATATGTCTAGGAGTGGGATTTCTGGATCATATGGTGGTTTTATTCCTAGTTCTTTAAGGAATCTCCATACTGTCTTCCATAGTGGCTGTATCAATTTACATTCCCACCAACAGTGCAAGAGGGTTCCCTTTTCTCCAAACACTCTCTAGCATTTATTGTTTATAGACTTCTTGATGATGGTTATTCTGACCAGTGTGAAGTGATATCTCATTGTAGTTTTGATTTGCATTTCTCTAATAATGACCCTGATGCTGGGAGGGATTGGGGGCAGGAGGAGAAGGGGATGACAGAGGATGAGATGGCTGGATGGCATCACTGACTTGATGGGCATGAATTTGAGTAAACTCCAGGAGTTAGTGATGGGCAGGGAGGCCTGGCGTGCTGCAATTCATGGGGTCACAAAGAGTAGGGCATGACTGAGACTGAACTGAACTGAACTGAATAATGAGCAATGTTGAGTGTCTTTTCTTGTGTTTGTTAGCCATCTGTATGTCTTCTTTGGAGAAATGTCTGTTTAGGTCTTTTTCCCACTTTTTGATTGGGTTGTTTGTTTTCCTGGTATTGAGTTGTAATGGGCCACTTGGATATTTTGGAAATTAATCCTTTGTCGGTTGTTTCATTTGCTATTATTTTCCCCTATTCTGAAGGTTCTCTTTTCACCTTGTTTATAGTTTCCTTTACTATACAAAAACTTTTAAGTTTAATTAGGTCCCACTTGTTTACTTTTGTTTTTATTTCCATTGTTTTTATTTCCCTTACTCTAGGAGGTGGGTCAGAGAGGATATTGCTTTGATTTATGTCATTGAGTGTTCTGCCTATACTTTCCTCTAAGAGTTTTAAAGTTTCTGGTCTTACATTTAGGTCTTTAATCCATTTTGAGTTTATCTTTGTGTATGGTTTTAGGAGGTGTTCTAATTTCATTCTTTTACATGTAACTGTCCAGTTTTCCCAGCACCACTTGTTGAAGAGGCTGTCTTTGCCCCATTGTATATTTTTGCCTCCTTTGTCAAAAACAAGGTACCCATAGGTGTGTGGATTTATTTCTAGGCTTTCTATCTTGTTCCTTTGGTCTGTATTTCTGTTTTTGTGCCAGTACCACACTGTCTTGATGATTGTAGCTTTGTAATATAATCTGAAGTCAGGAAGGTTGATTCCTCCAGCTTCATTCTTTCTCAAGACTGCTTTGGCTATTCGGAGTCTTTCATATTTCCATATGAATTGTGCAATTTTTCATTCTAGTTCTGTGAAAAATGCTGTTTGTAATTTAGTAGGGATCACATTGAATCTGTAGATTGCATTTGGTACTATAGTCATTTTCACAATATTGATTCTTCCTACCTAGGAACATGAAATATCTCTCCATCTGTTTATGTCATCTTTTATTTTTTCATCAGTGTCTTAAAATTTTCTTTATACTTTCTTTTTTCTCCTTAGGTAGGTTTATTCCTAAATATTTTATTCTTTTTGTTGCTGTGGTTAATGGGATTGATTCCTTAATTTCTCTTTCTGAATTTTCATTGTTCGTATATAGGAATGCAAGTGATTTCTGTGCATTGATTTTGTATCCTGTGACTTTGTGAACTTCACTGATTAGCTCTAGTAATTTTCTAATAGTATCTGTAAGGTTTTCTGTGTACAGTATCATGTCATCTGTTAATAGAGCTTTACTTCTTCTTTTCTGTTCTGGATTCCTTTCATTTCTTTTTCTTCTTTGATTGCTGTAGCTAAGACTTCCAAAATTATGTTGAATAATAGTGGTGAGAGTGGACCCTTGTCTTGTTCCTGATCTTAGGGGGAATGCTTTCAGTTTTTCACTGTTGAGAATGATGTTTCCTGTAGGCTTATCATATATGGCCTTTAGTATGTTGAGGTAGGTTCCTTCTGTGCCCATTTTTTGAGGAGTTTTAATCATAAAAGGGTGCTGAATTTTGTCAGAGGCTTTTTCTGCATCTATGGAGATTATCATATGGTTTTTATCTTTCAATTTGTTAATATGGTGTATCACATTGATTTGCCTGTATTGAAGAATGGCTTGGAATTTTTTGATGGTCCAAAATAAATTATACAGCCAAATCCAATGAGTGAAACTTTCAAAATACTTAGGTCAGTGTCCTTTTTTTTCTTTTTTTAATTAATCACTCAATTGTGTCTGACTTTCTTACTCCATGGACTATAGCCCGAGTCTCCTCTGTCCATGGAATTCTCCAGGGAAGAATACTGGAGTGGGTAGCCATTCCCTTCTCCAGAGAATCTTCCCAACCAAGGGATCAAACCTAGGTCTCCTGCATTGAAGACAGATCCTTTACTGTGTAAGTCACCAGGGGAGCCCCAGTCTCCCCTTAGTACTCAGCAAGTTGTCAGACTCAAGCAGCATCCCTGGCTGCCCTAAGATGACACACTCTTTAGTCATTGGATTGATCAGAAAATGTAAATTACTTTTAATAGATGCCTAATCAAAATTTAATTAGGAAGATATTCTGCCAATGAATAGTATAGAAATACACTTTAGTGGCATATAAAAATGGCTTTTGGATTGTTTGCAATTATATATCTTTGGGTTGGGGCTTCTCTGATAGCTCAGTTGGTAAAGAATCCACCTGCAATGCAGGAGACCCTGGTTGGATTCCTGGGTTGGGAAGATCCGCCAGAGAAGGGATAGGCTATCTACTCCAGTATTCTTGGACTTCTCTTGTGGCTCATCTGATAAAGAATCTGCCTGCAATGTGGGAGACTTGGGTTCAATCCCTGGATTGGGAAGATCCCCTGGAGAATTCCACGGACTGTACAGTCCATGGGGTCGCAAAGAGTTGGACACGACTGAGCGACTCTCATCTTTGCATTAGTGGTGAGTTAAATAAAGAATGATTGTATCTTCACAGTTTGACTTTGATTACCTAAAAAAAAAATTCAAAATTCAAGAGAATTTTTTTAGGGGAGGTAGAGAGAAAAGGCAGAAGCTGTCTTTAATTCTGCTATATTTGTAAGAAAAAAAAATAGCTTTAATTTTAGGTAAAATTTTTGTTGGAAGGTCCTGCAATGGATGTGTGTTAGGCTCTTCAATTAAAAATAGCGCTTATTTATATCAGAGAAGCTTTAGCTCTAAATCAGGGGTCAAATAGTGGCACACCTACCCTCTAACCCAGGGTGAGAATATGCAACAGTATGCATGTAGGTACTGAAAGTTTATATAGACCAGGGGTTCTCAATAGGGTGGTATTACCCTCCAGGGGACACTTTGGAATTTTGTGAAGCATTTGAGTTTGTCTTAATGTTTAAGGGGCAGTTGCCAGAGATGCTAGATATCATGTAATGCATAGAACATCCTGTATAACAATTATATGACTCCTGCATAGTTCTTGAATGTCTTGTGTATGACATATTTGTGAAGCGGGGTTGGGGGGGGACTATAAAATTACCTATACCTATAACCTAACTCTGTATATAAATGCAAAGTATTTATATTCTCTTTTGTACATTTATTAGCACTAAATGTTTCAGAAATGTAGCTACCTTGCTTACCAA